TATGATGTCCAGAGGTCCTCCAGTGCCATATCCACAGCCAGTACCACCTGCTGAGGTCAGGAGATCCTCTAGGGCCAGAAAGGCTCCAGTTCGAGATGATGACCCAAGATATTTTGTCAATGCTTACCAGAGGTCGACATTGATGAGGGAAAAGGGCCAGGGGAATGCCAAGAGAGACAATGGAAGGGCAGAGGTTCATGGTGGGGGTGTGGCTGAGCATAAGGTTGAGGTGTGGCAGTCAGGAAAAAGTGCTGACTCAAATCAACAAGACCACACAGCTTACCAAGCAAGTTCTGCATGTGATGACAAGCCTACAATGTTCAAGGACACTGTAAATCACCCTGATGGTGATCATTGGTATGCAGCAATGGTAGATGAGCTGAATATGTTTCAGAAGCTCAGGCTGTATGAGGAGGTTGAACAGCCCTCAGATCAAAAGATCATCAATTCAAAATGGGTATACAAAGTAAAGCAAGGACTGTTATGCTTCCATCAGGGGTCTTCCCTTTTTCGACTTCTCGCGGTCACGTGCGTCACGTGCCTCGTTGCATCCTTGGTACTTGTCGTCGTGTTGGGAATGCGGATGTTACAGGGAGGTCTCAGATCACCTGCTGTCCAGGTATTTCCAATACCTGTCGAGACTCATCATTTGTGATCCGTGACGTTCACCACTCTCGTCATTGATGACATGTTCACTTTATGCCCCGTCCATAAACTCTGACTCGTTTATGTTGCTCATATGTTGTACTATAGCTCCGGTGTCTGGCTCCTAGCTGCACATTGATTGCGCAGCCGGTATAGCCCTCGTTTCCTTGCCTACCCCCATCCCTGACACCGTATGACTCTTATTTATTTCAGTGATTAGTTCGTTGATTACTGCGGATACGCGTCACAATGCGTCTGTTGCGACTGGTGGGGTACTCGTACTTAGGGGTATTTAAAGCCCTCGTACTTTACCATGTATCCTTAGTTTTTCGATAGCTTGCAACTGAGCTAATAACTTCGCTTTAATCCTTGTTCATTCTCCGAGCGAACAACCTTAGGGACTCGCCAGCAGAACGAACCTCTGTCGGATTCTCACGATAACTCAGCCATAGGGGTAACGACAAGTTCGGCCTGTAGACTCCCACCTCGCGTGCTTCGTGCCTATTCCATTTGAAGAAGTCACTGTGCTCGGGCATAACAAGGATCAACAGGTGACATCAAGAAGTACAAGGTGCATCTTGTCACTAGGGGGTTCACTCAAGTTCACAGAGTGGACTATACTTGATACATTTGCCCCCATTGCAAAGTTCACTACTATTCAAATCTTGCTTGCTCTTGCAGCCAAGTATGACCTCAAGTTACACCAAATGGATGTCAAGTCAGCCTTCCTGAATGGAAAACTGGATGAAGAAGTCTTCCTTTGACCTCCTCCCAGGTTCCATACATCTGCAGATGTAGTTTAGTACCTTCACCATGCTCTTTACAGCCTAAAGCAAGCTCCAAAGGCTTAGTAAACCTGCTTGAGGGAAGTTTTCAAAGCCCTAGGCTTCATGTGCAGTGATGCAGACCACAGTTTGTTCTACAAATTCAAAAGTGGAGTTCTGATTATAGTCACTGTCTATGTGGATGATAAACTCATCTTGTCAAAGAGTTGTGATGCTATTGACCAGCTCAAGACTCAGCTCTCCTTGGAGTATGACCTATCAGATTTGGGCAAGGCACAATGGATCTTAGGAATGGAGATCATCTGAGACTGTGATAAAGGAGAAATCAAGCTCTCACAGGAAAGATATGTCAAGTCTATACTCTGGTGCTTCAGGTTGCAGGATATGTGCCCTGTGGGTACACCTATTGAACCCAGTCTCAAACTCAAGAAACTTGATCAGGCCAAGTCAGATGTTGCATGCTATCAGAGTGCTCTCAGAGCCCTGATGTATGCTATGTTGGCTACTTGCCCTGATCTTGCCTATGCAGTGGGCATCCTTAGTAGGCATGCAGTGACTCTGGGTGAGTGCCACTGGGTGGCCCTCAAAAGAGTCTACCACTACCTTCTAGGGACTGCTACCTTGTGTCTCCACTATTCTGTGGCATCAGGACCCACTCCAGCTGGGTATGCTGATGCCAACTGGGCATCTGATGTAAATGACCAACATTCTATCACTGGCTATGCTTTCATCCTATGTGGTGGTGCAGTGAGCTGGTCATTGAAGAAGCAAACCTCTGTTGCTCTTTTGAGCACTGAGGCCAAGTATATGGCTGTTTCAGCAGCTGCAAAAGAAGTTATTTGGATCCACACACTGCTTGGTGAGATAGACATGGCTGCATGAGCTGACCCCACCCCTCTCCATGTCAACAATCAATCAGCAATTTCATTGGCAAAAAATGCAATGTTTCATGATTGTATGAAACACATTTCCATTCACCATCACTTCATTTGAGAGAAGATTGAGTTGGGGGACATCTCTGTGGTGTACTTGCCTACAAACAAGCAGCTGGTGGATGTCTTAACCAATGGACTCTCTGGAGATGAGCACATTTGTTTTTCTATTGGCTTAGGTGTTACTTATTGAGATATTCACCATTGAGTGGGCATGTTGATGCACATTAATTATATTTCTTGCACCAGTAATATCTTACATAAGCACAGTCATTTTGGCACATTGTTTTTCCTTTGTGCACCTCAGTCTTCTCCCAATAGAAGCCTGAGGTGAGGTTCCTTTATTATGAGTTACAGCTATCTCACTGAAGCTATTTAGTATCTTCTCTCATTAGGTTAGTTGTACCTCAGTTTTCTCCCAATAGAAGCCTGAGTATCTTCTCTCATTAGTCTGTCACTACTCAGAAACACCCCTTCAGAATACAAATGGAGTCAATTCAATTGCATTCTCCCTTGATGGGAAGAGGATTGTCTCAGGCTCTTGGGACAACAGTCTGAGGGCCTGGGATGTTGAGGAAGGTGTGCAGATTTGCAGCCCTCTTGAGGGCCATACTTCTTCTGTCTACTCAGTTGCATTCTCCCCTGGTGGGAGGAGGATTGTCTCAGGCTCAGAGGACAAGACTGTGAGGGTCTGGGATGTTGAGGGAGGTGAGCAGATTGTCAGCCCTCTTGAAGGCCACACTTCTGGAGTCAATTCAGTTGCATTCTCCCTTGATGGGAAGAGGATTGTCTCAGGCTCAGTGGACAACACTGTGAGGGTGTGGGATGTTGAGGGAGGTGTGCAGATTGGCAGCTCTCTTGAGGGCCATACAGATGTAGTCAGATCAGTTGCATTCTCCCCTGATGAGAAGAGAATTGCCTCAGGCTCAGGGGACAATACTGTGAGTGTCTGGGAGAATGCAATGTTCACAATGGTTGCATCCCACCCCTCCAGCATACTTTATCCATTCCTTCCTGCAGATGGTATGTACCTCCACCTTCTATTTGTTCTTATTTCATTTAACAAGAAGTGCAGGTGTCATGGGATATCCCATTTGCTTTTCATTTGACCCTTCACATGCTCTGCTTAATAGTAATCTACTTGTTGATGGGTTCATGCAACAGAATGCTGTGCTGGGTGCATCAGTCAAGCTGCATGATGATGGCTGGATCAAAGGCCCAAAGGGACAACTACTACTTCAGATCCCCCCAACACTTAGGAGACCATTTTAATCAATGGGGACCAAAGTAGTCATTCCCAGAGACTGTTCCATAGAGTTGGATTTAAGTCAGATGGTTCATGGCAAAGAATGGTGCAAATGTTTCCATTCCACCCAGTGCATGATGGTTCAAAATGTATTTAGATGTTGGGTATATCTGCTGTCATACTGTCATAAATTAGTTCATACCCATATTTTTGTCCAATGATCATTTTACCCCGCTAATTGCACATATGTCCTCTGATGTCATAGATGCAGTAGCGGCTCTACATCACTCACCGTCTTCTTCCCTATTCCCCTCGCCTGTGGCCTCCTGATTCCCATCAATATTCCGCTTCGTGCTACACCGCATAGGTGAGTATACGGTTTTCACGTGCTCTCGTTCGAGGTGCCGCGTTGGTATTGAGTTCGAGTTCACATTTGTGCTATTACGCGACTTAGAAGTGCTTCATTCCAAGTCTGAGTCTGCAATGGAGATCATGATGTCAGCCATTTCAAGTTCCTCCTGTTCGTCATCCTCGATGTCGTCGGACGAGACCTGGGGAAGCTGTTGCGGTGGGAAAGACGACGAAGGCGTACCGGGATGGGGTTGAGTGGGTATATGCGTAGGTGCCGGTATGGGAGGGATATCTGTCTCGTGTAGTGCTGTCATGGCTAGGTTGGTAGCTTCTGGAGTTAGAGCATTGATTCTATGTACGGGCAGGATCTCATCGACAGGTCTCGCAGGAGGAAGGCCGGTAACTTCGGGAGTTAGGGAGTTCTTTCTGGGTGTCGACGGGGGTTTGTTGGAAGTGACGGGAAAGGTAGCTTTAGGGAAGCTCTAGGCGAAAAGGGGAACGGCACACAGTGTGAAAAATGGGGCATGAATAAAATGTGGCCCACCTGGGGAGTCGCGCAATACTTCCATCACCACTGCTAAGCACATCCTGGATCTCATAATCCTTGGTATGGTGTCTGCACTGTCGCATATGCGTGCAATCGTGGTTTGGTTGACTGAATTCGGGTATCGAGGTCTAATTTCTTGTGGACTCTGTCAGTATATGTGTAGGGCACGTCGACGGCCGCAATGGCGGACCGCCCGCTCTTAGTAGCACTCACAGGTCGTAGTTCTTCTGCAAAAGCATTTTCTCTGCGTTGCGGTCAGGTTCAGGTCCTGCAGATTGGCGCGTCGTCTTACGAACAGCGCATGCGTTGCTTCTAGTGTGGAGGCTTTCGCTTTGAATGGGGGTCGTAGGAGGGACGACAGGTTGTTGGTAATAGCCTCGAAAGTTGCTACGGGTGCTGGACTAGTGTAGGACATTGAAAGCTCTTCTACTCGAGTCTGATGGATATGCTTGGCGAAGATTCGACTTCGGTCATATTTCCCAATATCGAAGATATCCTTCTTACGAACACGGCGCGTTCTTTTAAATATGACCGGCTCCCAGCTCACCCCACTTCTTCTAGGCATTTCTTTCTACCTCTGGAGGAACGACAGCGTGAATTCAGACTCTGCGTAGACCACGGAAGAAACCTGTTAGAAACACGCACGCCTCAATGCGAGTGTATCTGGTTCGTGGTGCTGCAGGATAACAGGGCGAACGCGTTGACTAACTGATCACAAGAAGCTACTGCATCAATCCAGCCAATGTAGGAAAGTGTTGCAATCGGTCAGGGATACCAACCAAGAGTTGTCCGCTCAACTACAGGTACGGTCATTTGTTTCTTGCTAGTCTACCTGTCCCTAACCGCTAGTCATTCCTAGTGCCTCTGGGAAGACCCCTCAGACAGGAATCTCGACATATCTAGTTACCTTCTGGCACCAAGTACATCCATTTACCTTCCAGAGGACAAACACTGATTCGTAGTTCAGTGTCTAACTCGGTATCATCTGCTCATCCGACAAGTTCTGCAGTTTTCCGACCCACTCGCACTAACGTTCGGCCTATTTTCTGCACTGCGACTGGCGTTGTCTCTTCCCACAGAGCATGCGGGTTAGGAGTCAATAGGGCATGCGCTGGCGTATGCGGAGCAAATATTGGAAGGGGGAATGAGATGCTACGAGATCGGGAGAGCCAGGCGAGGTTTGGTGAGGTGAGCAACGAGCTAAGGATAGGCAAGGAGTGAGTATCGTGTATTTCATAACCATCCCGTTCCGTATTGGGCTGACATGGCCCCTAGCCTCTCCCCGTTCACGAACTCAAAATCCATCCGTCACGCAACCACACGCTCTAACGCTGCTCACATCCACGTTCGCCGTGCCTATCCACGGTGCATGGATATCCTCGTACTACGTGCTTCGAACGTCAGCGAAGCACGTGTGTGGACAGAAGCAGTCGCACAGTCAGTTGCGAAGGCAAGGGAGGGTATCGTGGTGGTTGTCAGTGATTCGAGGTGGGTTCGGACCTGCCATTGTTGGTGTGGGGGATGGGACACATTCCAGGTGCGTGGACACGTCGAGCGCGTGCGGATGTTAGCAATGGGAGCATCAGGCTGACCGCTGGTAGTTGGTCTGCTCAGACTGGATAATATTGGGGTTTTAGGGGACATACGGACTTGCCATGGATCAGACTATTATCTCACGTCAGTGCTTTTTGGACAGACTTGTCTCCGTATTTGTTTTTTTGTTCCACTTACTAGCTCATAATAGGCTAGACGATCGTGCCAGGACTGGCCACTAAGGACAGTTCCATACTGACTTGTTGTATATTTCGAGCTTCTGGTGATTCGGTGTAATAGTCTGAGTAGGTACAACCATCTCCATACGATGGCTAAGACTCTTTAGAAAGTATCCTTCCACGAGGTATAAGGTACGGCTCAACGCCGCATCCACTGGATGCAGTTATACCATGGCAACGGCGTTTTGCACTTATGCGTGACAGTAAGCTTTCTTTACATATACACTTCACCATCCAATGCCTGAACAGCACCCTACCGCTCGCAAATGAGTTGGATGAGCGTGGCCATACCAAGCAGAATGCCCGAGTCAGGTCCCTATCCAGGCGCGAGTCGTGTATGTGCAAAGTCTATCAAGGAGAGTGCGAACAGGGGAGAGTCATCCTCCTCAGCCTCGTCTTCGTCATCGTTGTCTTCAAAGTACTCGACGACAGGACTCGTTGCGACAACGCCGTCCAGAGGGCCGTGTTCGTCTAGTTCGACAGTGATCTTATCCTCATCTTCATCTTCTTCGTACAAGGCCACGGCTTCCTTCCGACCCAAACCAAATTCGTCAGAAGCGGTAGGCTTGTCGTTCAATACAGAGATGCCTTCTGGTCTCCACACAGCCGTTTCTGCACGTACCCAGTTACCTTCATGTATGATAAGGACGCTCCCGCCTATTATGCGTGCTTCTGCATTGGCAAGTGCCACCCGGAGATGGTCGAATGCCTCGAGCAGGCAGGGAATGTGGAGGTAGGCTTCATTGGATGCTATCGGGCGTGGTCATGACATCGCATGGAAACCATATGCGAGATTGTCGAGGACGATCGTGATCGTTGTTCCGTTGGCTGGTGCCGGCATCAGTTCCGGTAAGTAGTGTACGAGGTGGTTTCCAGGCGACGGCACCCCTAGGAATTTCAGGATCCAAGGCAGTAAACATTTCAATCATGACGCAGCCATGGTTGCGACGTCAATGTCTGGCGATACGCCGTCACGAATGCGCTAATAAAATGTCCAGTTCTCTAGGGAAGGCTGGTTTGAGAAGCAACCAGCCGTCCTCGGCTGACTGTACGCCTGTCTGTCCACCGACCCGTGAGGAGAGGAGCGCTGGGGGTAGAAGGGTATGGATTCAATAGGAAGTGATACATGGCGAGAATGATCTTGTCGCCGATCGTACCGTGTCTGCTGACATCGTCAGTGGAAGAGAACGCAATCAGTCAGATAGCAAGGCACCCCAAGAAGGCCAAATGACACTCCCTACCAAAATCGTAGAACAACTGCATTTGAGTTGCGGTCTGAGATTTTACAGCAGCAAACCCTGTTCATACCCAACAACAGTACTGCTATCCTTAGTTGGGTTTATTCATTGCGGCGTAGCATAGACTGAGTGGATGCCGAGCACAGATGTGGTGAATGCCCGTCGCATGGACAGTTCATGTGACTGTTAAAAATCGCATTTCTTGTTAAGCCGAGGTTGATACAAAGGAGCAGAAGGTACCTCGGCTAAGCTCAGAGGATGATTGAGATGGTTTCCCGATGCGTGAAGATGAGGAACTGGGGAGCGAGCAGCACTGGCGACCGAAGAAAACGAATTAAAGAATTGGAGCTGTGGAGACATCGCGGGTGAGCACGACAGATAACTCGCGGGTGATGCATTAGGGGACTCCCGAAGGTTTCTGCAAGCCGGGGTTGTGAGTTGGCAGAGCAATAGTGTTCCGATCACCAGCCGTGGAACGCAGAGGCAGTAGGCGGAGGCTGTGAGTATTCGGACGTAGGAAGATGGCTGCTCCGTTGGGAATGGTGAGGTCTTCAGGCTCACTCGCGTAGCGCAACAAGGTCGTGATCCCGCACACCACCCACTATGTGATGCTTCTCAGCAAGTAGGCACGAAGTAGCGATGCTGACCACACAAATTCGGTGCTGCATTGTCAGGTCAGTTCCTGTTCTACGATTGAAGTCTGCATGATACTCACGGCACACCCATCAAGTGGTGGGCGCTGCCACGTGTCTGCTGTGCCAGTTTGGCGCTCACGAGCGTGCCCACAGCATTCCCTCAGCTTCGTCTTTCGCTCACTCGCAACGTCAATTCAAACGCACAAACCTTACACGGAATATACACCCAATTGTTACATCAATGGACAGTGATCAGTTGAAGAGACGTCGCTCCAGTTCTGCCAACCCATCGAGCTCTTTTCCTCCTTCGGTATGTCGTCTGATTTTTCCTAGCAATGGTATGTGCCAAAATACTCATTTCTTCGCAATGACCGGCAAGCAGTCAAAGAAGCCTCGCACCAGCCTTGTAAATCCATCCAACCTCGATGCTTCTTCGGTATGCAGATCACTCCTTTCTGGCGATAGTATATGTCAATTGGCCAAAAATCAGTCGCAGGGGTCTTCTCAGGCCACTGCTCATTGTAAGTGTACCGCTCACCACTAACATGCCACTCATGCTGTCGATGCTGCTGCTAGCATGTCACACTACCACATCTCCTATTGTGCTCTCGTCTGGGCATGTGGATCCCTCTTGCTGTGTTGCATTGTTTGGACACTGGGGGTATATATATACTGGTGCTGTCTGCATCATGGAGGGATCATATCTCTTTCTTCCCTTTCTCTCTCTCTGTCCATCATCTATGCTTGATTGCTCAAATCCACACACCTGTCCACATTCTGTTGTTGTTGTGATCTGTTTGAGTGTGCTCACCCCTCTGTGGTGAGTTCCACTTTTTTTGAACATGCCATAGTGCATGTCAATGCCTAGCAGAGGTGTCAAACTGCTGTCTTGTTGTGTCCCCTCCATCCCTGTGCCCTTGACTACCCATAGTTGAGGGAATAACCCTCCACCTGTGACATTGTCATCATCACCACTGTTATCATCTCCATCTTTGCTGTCCCTGCTGTCTGTTACCTTGCCTGACCTGCCACCTATGCCACCACTTGTTGCCTTGCCTGATGTCACCCCATCTTCACCCTCTGCTCTGTCACATATCTCCCTACTACTGCCATCTCCCACTACCATGAGCAGCTCCTTGTCATCTGACAGTTTCACTGCAGTCCTTCCTACCATAGCAATGTCCTTGGCACAGTCCCAGACAGTGTGATGTGAGAACACTACTCCTGGAAAGACTCCTCCCTTCATGACAGTGGGTGATATTACCCCAGAAGGGTTGCAAAGCTGGGAGCTAGGTTGTGAAAATTATTTCTGATTAAAAAGCATTGCAGAGGATGTCCAGGTAGCTAAGGTTGTTGGTCATCTGTTGGATCCCTGTGTACAGGACTGGATCAGCAACAATGGCAGTCATCTGACTGCTCTCACCTTCTCAGAGTTTATGGAGGAGGTTCGTACATATTGGCTTCCTAGTGACTGGGCAGAGGCTATCCAACAAAAGATGCTGTTGTCAATGCAAGGTAATAAGCCTTTCACTTGTGGGCCATTGAAGTGGAGAGCCTGAATGTACTGTTGTGAGGAAGTGAGTTTCATCTCACTGAAGACCACCTCCACTTCCATTTAGAGTCTCACATGCATCCTGATCTTACTGCAGAATATCATTTGATGAGTTCCCACTGTGAGAAGCAGTTCTGAGCTTGGCTTGACTTGGCCCACCTCCTTGATGAGAAGTGTGTTCATGATGCAGTGAAACTCAATGCTGCCCTCCAAAAGAAACCATTCCAGCCAAGCTGCTCAGCTAATACTATGGCGTTGAGCTCGGAGGCACCTGATGGTTGTACTCATACACATCCACCTGCCCTTACCGTCGAAGAATGTCAGCTGCTTCATGACAATTCAGGCTGTTTCAAGTGTCATCACCCCTTTCAGAACCATATCACATGAGACTGTCCAAATGATTTCCCAGATGTGAAGAACTATAAGGCATTGACAGCTGCCAATGTCGAAGCTGCTCACAGGAAGTGTGCAAAGCCTGTCACAGTGGTCATTGAAGATGAGCCAGCCTTGAAGCATTCCCATATCACAGAGGAGGATGATATGGAAACCATCACTGTCATTATGCCCTCTGCTGCCCTTGGGGATGGAATGGACTCAGGTGAAGAGTATGTTGCCCCCCTCTCTGTTCCCCACCTTTGCTGGTCCTGTCTTCTTGAAGGACCCATTTTAACCTTCCCCCTCCCTGTAAAAGCGCTTATTGACAGCAGCTCTCATCTAGTACTGATTGATGAGTCTCTCATCATGAGACTTGGTCTACAATGTTGCCAGTTGCATAAGTCCCTTAATGTCTCAGTCACCTCTCTTCTGGCAACAGGGAGGTCATGTCATTGGGAAATTATGTTACTCTGTCCTGCCTCTCTCCTGATTTGCATTTTTGCTCATGCTCTGTTCATGCCATCATTGCACCTGGGCTGTGTACCCCACTCTTGTTGGGTCTTCCATTTCTCTCTCATAATAACTTCATTATCAATCATGCTCTCCATACTTGTATTAGTAAGGATACTGGCTACGACTTAATGAACCCCCTGGATTCTGTGTGTTCACCTCCCCCATTGGTGACTCCTTCGGTTCAGACTGTTAAGAAGATCAAGGGTGATGTTCTTATGGAGTTACAAGGTGTCTTACCAAGGTATCATGAGATTGCAGAGGTAGTGTCTACCCCAGTTTGTGGGGTGGATGTAATTGGCATGGTGCAACACTGCATTGAGGTCCTCACTGCAGCTGAAGAGCTGACAAAGTGCAACACATGGCTCAAGGTCGAGTTCACTGATTGCTTCCCTGTGGACATCCCACCCATCGATGCGCTGCCTGATGACATCCTCTTCCACATACAACCCAAGGATGCTAACAAGGTGATTCAGCTTCAGTTGTATGACTGTCCAAACAAGTACTGTGAGGCTTGGAAGACCTTACTGCAACAGCACCTCGATGCAGGGCATTTGTGACCTTCCAATGGCACACACTCCTCACCTGCATTCATCATTCTGAAGGCAGACCCTACAGCCTTACCACACTGGGTGAATGATTTTTGGCAACTCAATCTGAACACTGTCCCCGATAATCACCCATTGCCTTGCATTGACAAGATTCTTCATGATTGTGCCAAAGGCAGGTACTTTGCTAAGCTGGACATGACCAATGCATTCTTCCAGACCAAGGTACACCCAGACGACATCAAATGGTTAGCTGTACACATGCCTTGGGGTCTGTATGAGTGGACCATTATGCCTATGGGGGTGCATAATGCTCCTGCTGTTCACCAATGCCATATGTCTGCTGCTCTTTGCCATCTAATTGGACACATCTGTCATGTCTATCTTGATGACATTATTATCTGGTCACAGATGCTCGAGGAACATGAGCACAACATTTGTATGGTTCTCCAGGCCCTTCATGATGCTAAGTTGTTCTGTTCCCTCAAAAAGACACAGCTGTTCTGCACTGATGTGCTCTTCCTTGGTCACCATGTATCTGCTCAAGGAATTGAGCCAGACTCCTCCAACATTGCAAGGATTCTTGACTGGCCAGTTCCTCGATCGGTTACTGACATGCATGCCTTCCTAGGTCTGGTTCATTATGTTGCAGATCATCTTCCCAACCTTGCAGAACACACTCGGGTCTTGAACATGTTGACAACAAAGGCTGCTGAGCTCAAGTTTCCTGCCTGGACTGAAGATTATCAGCAGGCCTTCCAGGCTGTTAAGGACCTTGTGGTCAGCCCTCATTGCTTGACAACTATTGACCATGATAATCCAGGTGACAAGCACATCTTCCTTACATGTGATGCATCAGACTTCTGTACTGGGGCAATCCTCTCCTGGGGATAAACTTGGGAGTCTGCTTGGCCAGTTGCCTTTGATTCCACCCCATTGTGCAGCACCGAACTCAACTATCCAGTGCATGAGAAAGAACTTCTCACCATCATCTGTGCCTTGAAGAAGTGGTGGATTGAGTTACTCAGTGCCCTGGTTTTGGTGTACACAGATCACCGTACACTTCAGAACTTCGCCACACAACGCAATCTCTCCCAACAGCAAGCTCGCTGGCAGGAGTATATGTCCCAGTTCAACCTAACTATTCATTATGTCCAGGGTGAACGTAACATTGGTGCCAATGCATTGTCCTGCCAAATAGATGATGCTCCTCCAGTCACTGTGGTTTTGACTGTTGAGGTGGACAAGTCATTGACAGTAGAGATCTTGAAAGGATACACAGAGGACCCTTTCTGTAGAAAACTCTTCTCTCTCCTTGACTCACTCCCTGGTCTTCAAGAATGGGATGGCTTGCTATATCTCATAGGTCATCTGGTGGTTCCGCATGTACACTCACTTTGTGAATGCTTCTTCCATCTCGCTCATGATGCCTTGGGCCACTTTGGCATCAATAAGACCTATGCAGCACTATGGAATTCCTTTTACTGGCCTAACATGTGTTGTGACCTTGCAGCCACATACATCCCTGCCTGCACCCATTGCATGCGCAACAAGTCTTCTACCACAGTGCCTGCTGGTCCCCTACATCCTTTACCAGTGCTGGACGCTCACAGAGATTCAGTAGCCATCAACTTCATAGGTCCCTTACCAGAAGATCATGGGTTTAATATG